CATGTGAAGTTGTGCCTGCACTGCAAATAGTCTTCAACAAATTTACTGTGTGAAGAAAATTGTTCAATTCACTTGTTGCTTCGTTTGAGATAAACATTAGCAAAGAATAGCATCCTTGGCAGAAATGCAAAGTTTAAGTTCATCTTATGTAAGGACAATGGCTGGAAGCATCCATGCAACCTGGAAGGCCCAGATTATTAATGCAGGATACTGAGGCCTTAAATATGTATTAAACCAGGTTTGGTTCTATATCTTCATGCCAATATGGAGTCAGTAGCCATTCAGTTTCACATGTTGGACAGTCAGTTTCACATGTTGGACAGATACTTTTTTTCTGAGTTGGAAAGATGTTGTTAGAAGAGAGGTGGTTAAAGGGCAACCCATAGAGCGTGTGCAGCCCCTAGGAACCCATTTTGTGGTGCCCAGAGATCCCATGGATCTACCTAAAAATGTATGTTTTAGACACAAAAAGGGGCTGAAAAGGAAGCAAAACCACTCAAAACTGTCATAAAGCATGGAAACTTGTCTTCCCTTGCCTCCACTATCTTAACCTCCCCACCCCCGAAAGCTGCAGGAATTGGCCATATTTAAACAAATTTCTGAAACTCATTTCTGAAATCCCCTCCCTCACTGCTGTCCCCTTTTCCTTTTGTGTGTCATGTCTTATTTAGATTGTAAGTCTGATGGAAGGGAACTGTCAAATGAAAAATTTTAAGCTGTTCTGGGGACCATTTTGTTGAAGCACAGGGTATTAAAACTCTAAATAAATAAACTGGAAGACATGTACCATTGCATCTGGTTACATCAGGTAACATCAGCAGCAGTTTGGCCTTTGGTGGTGGGTAGGTGGAGGAAAAATGGGCCGAACCATTTGTCTACCATTGTGTTAAAGGAAGAGAGTGGAGCCACTCATTGTGATATGAATACATGGGATTTTAAAGAAATGTTTGGCAATCTGGCATCAATATCCCATAATTCTACTATTGTGAAGCCCAATTTTCCCTTGTATCTTAAGCACGATGAAGCTTGTTTTGACCTTTTGCTAACATATAATACCTGTTTTCTACTTTAAACAGAAATGCATCAACCATTTCATATTTTTCCCCATACTATATGTATATTATTTAGTGGTGTAGGGAAATACATCAGTTATGACAGGATCATTATAGGCTGAGTCTTCTTTATCCAAATTGCTTGGAACTAGAAGTCTTTTGGATTTTGGATTTTTTTGGATTTTGGAATACTTATATTTACATAAATGTACATAATGAAATATCTTGAAGATGGGACCCAAGTCTAAACACAAAATTCATTTATGATTCATACATGCCTTATACACATAGCCTGAAGATAATTTTATACACAATATAATAATGTTGTGCATGTAACCAAGATTGTGTACAGTGAACATCAGAAAACAAAGATATCACTATTCCAGCCACCCATGATTTTTTTTTTTAATATTTCTGATTTTGGCATTCCAGATAAGGGAGACTCAACCCGTATAGGTTTACAAAGACTCACATTGTAACAGGTGGTCATGACACAATGAATATGTTTAGTGGGAAACATCAGCTATTACAGCCAAAAGTTGTAATCTTTCTTTTCAAAATTATTGGGCTTGGAAAGTACCAAATGCTTGGGATTAACAACTTGGATATTACTGACATAGCTTACACAAGTAATAACAACTTGGATATTACTGTCATAGCTTACTTCACCCTTCTTGAGCTTTCTGGCTAGTTTTCATGGCTTGATAGAATGTGGACCTATGTATTCTGATCTAACTATAATATTGGTATTGATGGAATAATGCAAATACCTTTGTAGTCATTGAGAACATTCCATTTAATTTCACTTGAGTCTTTGATGAAGACCGTATCAACCTACGAACCCTTGCTACCCCACTAAATTTAAAACCCATATTTAATTTCTGGAGAAAAGTATTGCTGTAAGTAAGTGTCACATTCAATTAATAGCACAGAAGTCAATGGAAGAGGTCAACGAAGCCTGCAGCACTGTTGATGACAACACTTTAAAATGAAGTCCTTTTCTTTGGTGACTTATGCAGCAATATGGGATTCAGTTTCTTGTGATAACAATATAATAGGACTCTATTCAGGCATCTACCGCATTATTCATGTTCAGTTACAAGGAGGGGACTATTTGTTATGTAAGAAAGCTGCATCTTCCCTTTTATAATCCCTGGTGATTATTGGATGGCAAAGCTTCTAGTTAGTTCACTTATCTTCCTTTAGAAATACGGTTATTTTCTGTTACCACACCCACATACCCACACCTAGACCTACCTACCTTTTTCACTCATGCACCTTTCCTAGCACTGAATTATAATCTCAATGAGAATGAAGGTCCTCATAACAAGGCTTCTATTGGTTCTTGCTGTATATTTCCAGAACTAACAAAGAAGGCTTCATGATGAATTTGCCAGTATTTTATGGAGATATATGTTAGGATTTATGAGAAGGAGGAGTCTTTCAATGTCTCCCTGTCTCTCCCTGTCATCTCTTCTTGAAATTATTCTAATTTTGCAGCAGTGTGTGAAACATATTGACTCATAATAAAATGATCCACAAATCATGGCCTTATGGCTACATCTGCACTGCAGAATTAATGCAGTTTGACACCATTTTAACTATCATGGCTCAGTGCTATGGAATCCTGGGATTTATAGCTTTTTTTGTAGCACCAGAGCTCTGACAAAGAATGTTAAATATCTCACAAAACTGCAGATCCCAGAACTTCATAGCATTGAGCCATGGCAGTTAAAGTGATGTCAAACTGCATTATTTCTGCAGTGCCGATGCAGCTTATGATAAATCATAATTTATTGTGACAGAGGGAGCTTTATGGTCCATTGTCTCTAGAAATAATGCCATGACATCTTCAGTTGTCCCTGCTAAAGAGTAGTGGTGCCTCACAAAACTACAAATTCCAGAATTCTGTCAGATCGAGCCATGACAGTTAAAGTGGTGTGAAACTACATTATTTTTACAGTGTAGCTGCACACTAAGTGAACTTTAGGCTATAATGCTCCTCTGCTCCTCCTCTACCAAACTCACAAAGGGGAGATCACCTCTTGTGCTTTCTTTTTAAATTTACATCAAAGTTCTGTTTCATCCAAACACAACACACTGTGGCTGATGTGACATACAACCCATTTCAACAAATAATATTTTATATCAAACCCAGTTTAGGGTTCAGCTATAAAGCTAAGTTGCAGTTTACAAAGAAAAAATGAAGTAAATATTTCAGTAAAAAATGAACTAAATATTTCAACCATGCTGAAGGGACAGAGCATACAAGTACTCTTCTCTCACACAGTAGACCATGGTTTATCGTAATATCCTAAATCAATGCAATGTAGATGTCTTTCTTCTATGTAACAGACATTGAATCAGTTGCCAGATACAAGGGTCACACTGCCATTAGATATGGCAAAGCACCTAATGTAGATGGTGGGTATTTGGGCTACAACATTTAAAGTCTCCTGGCATTTCCACCTGAGTCCTTTGAGTATTCCCTTTGCTGTGTGTACCTACCTGGTCTGTAGTGGTTGAGGTTACTGTCACTAGTATTCAAGGGAGAAGAAACTTGCAAACTAGACAGAGTCTGTATGTTCAATAGAGATGTGGGACCCATTTTATCATTTGCCTCAGGCAGCAAAATGTTTTGAGTCTTCACCAAAGGGCATGACTCCTTCCTAATATTCCTCTTTAATTCCCCCTCCCCACCTAAATAAACAATAAATGACAGAAATCAAAACATAGAAACCAGTTTAAGAATGAGCCTTTTTATTATGACTTTGGGTGTACTGCAGGAAAGTTATTAAGATTTTTGCCTGAGACATGTCTTCATGATGGAGCATCAAATACTCCGACACCAACGTAATAACTTGGAGCATCCAGATTCAGAGTAAATAAATGCTGCTGCTCTTGTTTGCTTGAAATACCAATTTGATTCTATCAGTGGCCTCATCTAAAATTGAATTTTTTTTCCTGCTGCATCTAAGAAGTTGTCATACACACTGCTCAGAGAAGATTAATTTTGGCTCTCTGGGGATAGACAACTCATTTCTGCAACTTTTTTTTTTAGTAATTAAATGATGCCAAACTGGTCTTGGAAAAGGACAACCTGATTATTATCTGCATTTTTTGTTACTCTTTCTTTACTCTTTTATAATTTTAGTGTTTAAAGTAATCTCATGTGCTATATACATGAGTATATATATATATACCTCTTATGTGAATACTGTACCATTCTGCAATTTGAATGCAGTTTCCTCTCTGAGGGTGCCTCCAGAAGGGAAAAAGTCTCTAGAAGTATTGCAAGTTTCTAATTCCTTTTTGTTTTGATAGCATTTGTTTATATATGAGTTGCATTCCAGTCTCTTTCTTCAAATATACCAGAATTCACCCCCTTTCCCCCTTGTGTCTTTCATTTTCCACTTCCCACTGATCACATATCACATTCCAGTCTCATGCAACATATCAGAAACTGATATTCACCAATAGTCAAAATGCTAAAATGGTTTAGCAATATTACTAGTTAAGCATCAAGATAATTTTCTTTTAGTGATAGCATTCCTCTTTCTCTCACTTGCATCTGTGTCCTGAAAACAATAGCTGCGTAAACTGTTGGCAGACATCTTAGCTAGTTCCAAAAATGTTATAATCAGGCTGGTACAAAATCCTGGAGCAACTCAGTCTCATGGATTTACCAGAAAAAAGAGTACCACAAAGACCTAGCATAGATATAAAACACTGGAATCCAGTTCCTTTCCAATTTAATCCCCTATTCCAAGACCACCAGCACTGGTTGTGGGGAACAAAAAATTACCAAAATGGCCTACATTGATTCTATAGTTGAGGACTTCATGGGAAATTAAATTCCTGGACACAAATTCTAGTGACCTGTGTTAACCAGGAAAAAAGAAGTAACAGGATGAGCAACCACAGGTATGCTCTTCTACTTTGGAGAGAGACAGTGTGGCATAGTGGTTTGAGCACTGGACTATGGCTCTGGAGACCAGGGTTCAGATCCCCACTGGGTGAGCTTGAGCAAGTCACACTTTCTCAGCCTCAGAAGAAGGCAAAGGCAAACCCCTCCCCCGAACAAATCTTGCCAAGAAAATCCCATGATAGGGTCATCTTAGAATTGCCATAAATGGGAAATGTCTTGAAGGCACACAATGACAATGAACTAATTCTGTTTCAAAATGCCTGTACTCATGACTGCATGTGCTGGTGTGTGGATTCTGTGGCTAGTAATACAAAAGGTCATATTTTCAAGTTGTAGATATCCCTGCACTTGAGAGCATTTGCTAGTTAAAATAGAATGGATGTTTTGTTTTCAGCATAATGATCCTATGCTTCTGAAAATGACCTTTCTCTGACTGAAAATTTCATGAAAAAGATACACCATAACAAACAGTATGAACATTTATGGAGCCAAATGTATTCTTTTAACATGGTGGTTTCCTTTTGAGGCATACTGCTCTGATGTACTTGTTATTGTTGTGAGAAAATAGAAACCATCTTTTAAGCAGTGACTAATGATGGACTGACTAAACTAGAACGAGGAAATCCTTAAATATATTCAACATAGTTCTTGAAGGGTTTTATTTATAAAACACTGGCAAGACATGCCAAGCAAGAATTGAGAACCAGCAGATTTTATCTTCTCAAAGAGGAAAATGAAAGGAGTTTTTTCCCCTCTTGCCTTAACATTTCTTTTTTTATTAAAGGTCCAAAGTGAAATTGAAGCAGCATCACACAAATTATCTTTTCATAATAAACTTTACATTTCTAGACACATTCATAGAATTGTAGAGCTGAAAGAGACCACAAGAGCCACCCAGTCCAACCCCCTGCCATGCAGGAAGACACAATTAAAACACTCCTGACAGATGGCCATCCATCCTTTGTTTAAAAACTTCCAAAGAAAGAGACCCCACCACTCTTTGAGGCAGTGTGTTCCAGTCGAACAGCTCTTACTGTCAGGAAGTTCTTCCTGATGTTTAGCTGGAATCTTTTCCCCTGGAGTCCCTCTTTTCTGTTAGCCATGTGGAGTTTGAAATGGGATGGATGGGTGGTTTCAGTTTTGCAATAGCAGATGATTCCTTGAGGACAAAGGTTCTCTTGTGCCATGCTAGGAAAAGCTACATTTTCTTCCTCCTTGTTCAATTTCTGTTTTACACAGTCATAAGCAAGGATGGGCAGGGCCAGCCCTGTCATTTGGGAGAGCGACATGGTTGTTTCTGTGATAATGGCACTCCAGCTATTGCTCCTCATCTGTTCTTTCTTATGAACAACATCACTGCAAAGAGAGTGTGCAAAGCTGCATCTCTGGCTCAGCACCGAGGATTAATGTAATTCACGCGGGGTAATATTATGGAGTATCATTGAAAGGACCCATTCCCCAATGGCAATTCGTATAAGTTTGGAACCTCTGGAGCTTTTGAAGCTAATGGCCTACTTTGTTGTTGTTGTTTTTTAAAAAACACTGCACTCCAATGTATAAGTGGCACAAACAGAGGAGAGCCTGTCTTCAAATTATCCTTTACTTGGCAGCAATGTAAATCAGATAGGTGCAGGCAGGGGCTCATTTTAGTCCCTTAATTAATATTTTAGACATTTCTGTGCCACATTTCTGAACTAAAATATTCTCCCAAAGCAGCTTTTAAACATTCTGTTATATCATTTAATGATCTGCCATATTGTGACAAAAATCTTTTTATGTTCTTTGTTATCTAGTTTTGAGTCTCATGTTTGTATGTACTGTTCTTAGCATATGTCACCTACATTGCCTTGGCAGAAGGATAGGATATAAATGATGCAAAAACATTTCTTCTTCTCTCCCCCTCCACACACTTTCTTGGTAAGAGTAAACAGTCCTTGATAAAGCTTCATCCAGATTCATTTGCTGAATTAAAAATGGGGCTGCTGGATGAACCAGTGATGGTGGGCTTCTTTGCTCATCTGTATCATCACTAATGCTGGAACATTGCTGGAAAAAAGCCAACTCAAGTGTCATTTATATGTTAAATATAATGGTGTTATTCTAATATATCTCACAAGTATTTATGGGTGGTGTTCAAATATTTATATAAAATAAATGATGTTATGCAAAAAATCAGAATGTCTCATAGATTCATAGGGTTGGAAGGGACCTCATGGACCACTGAGTCCAAACCCCTGCTCCATGTAGGATCTCAAAGTAAAGCATCTCCAGCAGTTAGCTGTACAACCTCTCTAGGCAATTGGTTCAATTGCCACATCTATTTCTTTCTTATTAATCATGGTAGGACAATTGTACATAACAGAGGCAGCCAAAAATAATCTTCTGTATATTAAAATTAGACCATAACTCTGTTCACATTTAACTGGACATAAGTCCCACTGAACTCCAATGTACCTCACACTTGAGGAGACTCACTGTGTACTGTTCAATGCCTCAGATTAACTACAATTATATATAGATGTGAACCTCTTGCTTGTATTTATTCTTAGTTTATTTTATGTATTCTTTATTATTCTTGTAGCTATTCCTCTGGGAATTATAGTTGTCCGAGGAGACTGTGACTTGGAGACTTGTCGTATTTATGTGGATCGCCTAGAGGAGGTAAGTTGCTGCAAGCAATGTAGCTAAAGGACACATGGATGTCTTCACAGATTCACAGCTGAGCAGTATCATTGGTTTTTTTTTTTTTACATACTCAGTCTGTCTGTCTCTTCTTGCCTATTACCTTTGTGCTAACTTTTCCTTGGTTGATTCTGTGGACATCGTGCAAAGAGAGCATTTGTCTCACCATTGGGTAATACCACCAGCTTCAAGCTGGAATTGGGATAGGAGGAAGGTGCCCAGGCAGCTGGTTATCACCCTCAGGTCATTTTGTGTTCCAGCACCTCTCATTTCAGAAATCAAATCCTTAGGACCAGTACGAAAATACTGGATCATGCTTTAGATGAAATTACGTTCCCAGCTGCATCTGCACTGCAGAAATAATGCAGTTTAATATAGCTTTTACAGCCATTGCTTCATCCTGTGGAATTCTGGGATTTGTAGTTTTGTGAGATATTTAGCCTCTTCTGTTAGAGAGCTCTGATGCCACAACAAATTACAAATTACAAACCTAGAGATGATTCACCAACCCTCTGACATGGTAGCCTTTAGCAACCACTGCATTTCTGTGCATCATAATTCTTGCATGGAATTGACTGATTAATATCTTGGTTTTTTTTAGTGTGTGTGTGTGATTTTTTTCTCTGATGGCTGAACTTTATATTAAAGTTTAATGCTAAACACGTTCTTAGAGATGTTTTGCATGGAAAGGATTATTCGTTGTTTGAATTAATCATTGTTAACAGGCTTTGGATTAATCATTGTTTCCACTGGGCTTTCTCCCTATAGGATTTGCAGTCAGTCTCTTCAAATACACAGAGAGTTCACTACCAGGTAAAATATCTCTTTCCTCTTTCTCCTTTAGCTAAGTAACACAGGAAGGTCTTTCATTGTTAGTTTAAACTGTATTCCTTAAATCTCCGAACAGGAGAATTTAGCTGGACTTCTTTGGCTTGATGAACAATTAAGTCACTTGTGAATTTCTTTTGAAGGATACCATATTTATATCAGTTATTGAATTTTTGATGAAGGGTATGTCCACTCTTCCCCCTCCTAAAATTAAATAAAACAAAAGAGAACAAAATAAAAAAAAATGAGCTAGCTGCTCAATATGTGGTGAGTAATACTGATTCATTGCAGGATTTAGCATTGTACAAGTTTAATAAATATCATTAAGGCTTTGAACATGCAAAATTAGTTTCCTAATGGCCAGAGACAGGGCCAGACTTGAGTGGGCTCTTGTCATGGTAATATTGACTAGATACATGTTTTCCCCACCTCTGGTATAGCTGACAGTATCACTTGGGAACTTTTATCCTGGTTTTTGAGGATTTTGGGGCAGCACCCTCCCCCCAAAAAATAAGTCAGGTGTATTTGAATTACATGTGAACAAGACAGATTTTATGCAATATTTGGAATATTTTGTTTGTCTAGACAACCTCTTGAACTCCTAGGAAGATATGGTGCCGCCACTGAGTTACTGTCTTTCTGTGTCTGCACACACACTCATGTCTGTTTGTAAGATGAGAATAATAACACTGGTCTACCTTATAGAGGACCAGCATGATATAGTGGTTGGTGTGCTGGACTATGACTCTGGACACTAGAGTTTGAATTCTGGCTTTGCCATGGAAACACACTGGGTAATCTTGCACAAGTCACACTCTCTTAGCCTCAAGGGAAGGCAAAGGCAAACCCTCTCTGAGCAAATTCTGCTAACAAAACCCTGTGCTAGCTTTGCCTTAAAAGTAAAGGTAGTCCCTTGGCATGAATATCTAGCCGTAACTGACTGTAGGGGATGGTGCTCATCTCTGTTACTAAGCTGAAGAGCTGGCATTGTCCAAAGATGAATCCAGTGGTCATATGGCCAGCATGACTGTACCGAATGCTGTTACCTTCTCATCAAAGTGGTACCTATTTATCCACTTGCATTTGCATGCTTTTGAACTGCTAGGCTGGCAGAAGCTGGGACTAGTGACAGGAGCTCGCCCTATCATTCAGCACTCAGGCCTCAAACTACCAATTTTCTGATCTTACAATCATCAGAATTGGTGTGTTAACCACTAAGCCACCTTAAGTCATGATAAATCAGAAATGACTTGAAGGTACACAACAATGGCCTTGTCTACATAGGAGTTTTAACCGAATTTCTCCCCCGGGTTCACTATGTCCTGCTTACACAATGTAGGCCAAAATCCTGAATTTGGTCTCGATTGTCTTTATGAAGCCCACTCCTGATTTGGGGCTTCCTCCCCCTAACCAGCATTTTGTTGTGGGGTTCAACAGTGATGGGCAGCTGCCTTTTCACTTGAAGTTTCTGTTTGTCACCCAGTGCTATTGCTGTGGGTGCAAGTTTCTCTGAGGTCAGGACTAAACACCCAGCATTGATAGCATGGCTGGATGCTTCATTCTGACTTCAGCAGAAGGCACC